ATTATTTATTTCCTTTTGCTTGCTTTGTGTTTAGTTCTTGTTCTTTAAGATATAAAATTAGGTTGCTGATTTGAGATCTTAAAATTTGAGCATTTGTAGATATAAATTTCTTTCAGCATTGCTTTTGCTTCATCCCATAAGCTTTGGTGTTTTTATCTTCATTTGTCTCAAGTTATTTTCTTATTTCCCTTGTGACTTCTTCCTTGACCCATTGGTTGTTTGAGAATGTACCATTTGATTTCCACGTATTTGTAGATTTTATGGTTTTCTTTCTGCTATGGATTTCTAATTTTATTCCGTTGTGATTAGAAAGATACTTTATATAATTTCAGTCTTTTCAAATGTTCTAAGACTTACTTGTGGCCTAATAGCCTGTCCCAGAGAATGTTCCATATACTCTTGAGGAATATGTGTATTCTGCTTATTGTTGGGTGGTATGCTTTTTGTATATCTGTTAGGTCCAAATGGCCTATCATGTTGTTCAAGTCCTCTTTTTCAGACGGTTTCACTTCTGTCACCCAGGGTGGAGTGAAGTGGTGCGATCTTGGCTCACTGCAACCTCTGCCTCCCAGGCTCAAGTGATTCTCCTGCCTTAGCCTTTCAAGTAGCTGGGACTATAGGCGTGCGCCACTGTGCCTGCCTAATTTTTTGTATTTTTAGTAGAGATGGGGGTGGTTTTACCATGTCGCCCAGGCTGGTCTTGAACTCCTAGGCTCAAGCAATCCACCCGTCTCAGCCTCCCACAGTGCTGAGATTACAAGTGTGAGCCACAGCGCCCAGCCTCTGTTTCTTTTTTGATCCTGTCTCTTGCTTTTCTATCAGTTATTGAAAGTGGGATGTTGAAGCCTACTGTTACAGAGTCATCTATTTCTCCCTTCAGTTCTGTCAGTGTTTGTTCATATAGTTAGGAGCTGTTATGTTTGGGGTGTGTGTGTGTGTGTGTGTGTGTTGTGTGTGTGTGTTGCGGGGTGTATGTGCTGTGTGCGTATATAAATATATGATAATTGTTATATCTAATTGGTGAATTGACCCTTTTTAAAATATATAATGTTCTTTGTCTTTGTTACCAGTTTTTGACTTAAAGTTCTATTTTATGCTTGATATTAGTATAGCCACCCCTACTCTCTTCATCACTATTTGCTGGATATCTTTTTCTGTCTTTCTTTGTCAACCTGGGTGCGCTTAGATCTAAAGTGAGTCTCTTGTTAGACAGTGTATAGATGGATTTTTTTTTTTTTAAATTCATTCTTGTCAGTCTGTCTGATTTGGGAGTTAATTTACATTTAAAGTATATTACTGATGGGCGGAAGGACTTACTATTGGCCATTTTGTTGTTTTCTGTATCTCTTTTTTTATTTTTATTTTTTTTTTTGAGACGGAGTCTCGCTCTGTCACCCAGGCTGGAGTGCTGTGGCCGGATCTCAGCTCACTGCAGCTCCGCCTCCCGGGTTCCCGCCATTCTCCTGCCTCAGCCTCCCCGAGTAGCCGGGCTGACAGGCGCCCGGCCATCTCGGCGCCGGGCTAGTTTTTTTTTTTTTTTTTTGTTGATTGTTTGTTAGTAGAGACGGGGTTCACCGTGTTAGCCAGAGAATGGTCTTCCCGATCTCCTGAGCCCGTCGTGATCCCCGGCCCGTCTCGGTCCTCCCAAAGTGCTTGGGATTACAAGGCTTGAGCACCGGCCCGCCGTGTTTTTCTGCTATCTCTTTATAGGGCTCTTTTTTGTCCCCTCATTTACTCCCTTACTTGTCCTTTCTTTGAAGTTTCCAATGTTGATTTTTTCGCTTTTTTCTTTTCCTTTTTTTTTTTTGTTTTTGAGTTAGAAGTCTCACTGTGGTCACCAGCACTGGGAGTGGGGTGATGCGAGTTTGGTGCAATCTCAGCTCACTGTAACCTCTGCCTCCCAGGTTCAAGCAATTCCTCTGCCTTAGCCTCCTGAGTAGCTGGGACTACAGGCACACCACCACGCCCGCCTGGCTAATTTTTGTTTCACCATATTGGCCAGGCTGGTCTCGAACTCCTGACCTTGTGATCGCCCGCCTCAACCTCCCGAAGTGCTGGGATTACAGGTGTGAACCACGGCGCCCAGCGAGTTCAGTTGATTTTTTATAGTGGCATGTTTAGTTCCCTTCTGACTTCCTTTTGTGTATATTCTGTAGCTATTTCCTTTGTGTTACCGTGAGACTTACATAAAACATCCTAACGTTATAACAACCTGTTTTAAACTGCTAACTTTAATTGCATATGAAAGACGTCCTTTACAGCTCCATCTCTTCTTTATGTTATTGCTGTCACAAATTACATCTTTATATATTGTGTACCCACTAGCAAAGATTTATAGTTTTTTATGCTTTTCTATTTTAGGTCCTGTAAAATAATTAGGGGAGTTACAAACCAAAATTGCAATAATACTGGTTTTTATATTTGTCTATGTGTTTACCTTGAAAGGAAAAATGTATATTTTTATACAGTCGTTGAGTTACTGTCTAGTGTGGTTTCCTTACAACCTGAGGGAAGGACTCCCTTTAACATTTCTTGCAGGGTAGGTCTAGTGGTGATTAATTCCTTCAGCTTTTGTTTATTTAGGGATATCTTAGTTTCTCCCTTGATTTTGAAGGATAGTTTTACCAGATACAGAATTCTTGGCTGGGCGCGGTGGCTCACACCTGTAATCCCAGCACTCTGGGAGCCTGAGACAAGCTGATCGTTCGAGCTCAGGAGTTCCAGACCAGCCTGGGCAACATGGCAAAACTCCATCTTTACAAAACAATAGAAAAATGAGCTGAATGTGGTGGCTCATGCCTGTAGTCCCAGCTGCTCAGGAGGCTGAGGTGGGAGGATCCCTTGACTACAGAAGGTTGAAACTGCAGTGGGCTGAAATCACACCACTGCACTCTAGCCTGGGTGACAGAGGGAGACCCTGTCTCAAAAAAAAAAAAGAAAGAAAAACAATCGGTTTACAGGTTTTTCTTTCATCACTTTAAATATATCATCCTGTTGCCTTCTAACCGCAGAGTTTCTGCGGAGATTGTCCTGGTGGGGTAGAGAGAGACTACTAGTAAAGTACTGTAGTTTTTTGGAAGGCATTGGTAACCACTGTCTATAGACCAACTCTTCCCCATCTGCCTGTGTACTGTTCCTCTCAGACAGGCAGAAATTACTGACTCAAACTCCATACTGTCTCTGTGATCTTCCCCTATCGCAGCAGCAGAAGTCCTCTGACGTAAGACTCCTCCCGGAGCAGGCAGAGTGTAGTTTCGAGTGATGTAGATGTCTATTACTTGTATATTAAACGATTAGAGAGATGTTTGATAAGTTCTAAGACGTAGGATTACCCAGTGTTGTCATGGGCTAGAAATGTTGCAAAAATACGTGAGCCAAGGTCTCAAGTTGGCTGACTGTACTATTAAGCTACAGACATGCACTTCCTATGTTCATCAGTTTTTCAGTTAGCAATAATCACTCCTTGAGTAAACCTCATTGTCTATGATAGTGCCACTGCGCAAAGCTCGTCCATCAGTTTCTGAAGAAAGTGGAGTACGTCGCAGGATTACCTGTGTGCCTTGTTTTAAGCAAGCTCGACACATAAAAGTCATGGTTTCACCAAAACTTGAAGGTTATTGTTTGGTACGAGATTCAGCAGAAGACTTTAAAAGCATTTTTGTTACCTTAAAGAAGGACTCGAATTACAAAGTTTAAAGAAGCAACTAGTAAAAACACCACTCACGTTAGAAGAAGAGGGTTTGGGTCTGTTCTCCCGAAGACTGATTCTTACAAAACCCAGGGTCCTGGGCCCAAAGGTTCTTTCTGTGGCATAACTGCTTAAAAATGCGAGAGGAGAGACTCAGGGCGTGTCAGTCCCAAGGACAGACAGCTAGATATCCTTTGGTTCTACTTGACTGGGTAGCAGTGGGCGAGGCTTTAGGGAAAACACTTTGTAAATCTTATTATGATGGCATGTAAAGGCACAGGATTGGCAATAAAGGGACCTGGAGTTTGGTCTCCAGTATGAGAGGATTTCTTTCGGGCAACGGATGATATTGCCACACAGTCAGGAGAGGGGATGAGCCTGGTCTTTGAGTTTGCAGGGGGAGTGATTTATTTGTAATCTTTATTTTATGATGTTTGTGCAAGAAGTTAAGTATTTTGGCTAGAGAGAGCATGGAAATAGAGTGAGTTCCCCAGACCAGTTCTATGTAAGACCAGCAGAGAAGGTTAGGTCAGCGAGCACCGGTGTTTCGAAGGCCTCTCTCCTGGAAGTCAATCAATGTAGTCATGAGTAGCAATTCCAAGCTGGCCTCTGCTAAAAACCAGATCAGGGAAAAAGTAGGGCCCAGGTCAAAGAGACTGTGAGCTCCCAGGGGCAGGGACCAGGTCTGTCTGATTGTCTCTATTCGGCTTATTGAACTGAACTAATATATAGCACTTGTCATTTGATATCGATTGTAATTCCGTGAGATATTTGCATCTTAGATGAGGAAAATGGCCCAGAGAGATCAACGTGCCTCCCATCTACTAAGTGGCTGAGCCAGAATTCAAGCTCAGGTCTCCTGATTCCAGATCCCGTGTGCCTTCCTGACCACCGTATCAGCCAGATCTTTTCTTTTTTTTTTTTTTTTTTTTTTTTTGAGATGGAGTTTCACTCTTGTTGCCCAGGCTGGAGTGCAATGGCGCGATCTCGGCTCACCGCAACCTCCGCCTCCTGGGTTCAAGCAATTCTCCTGCCTCAGCCTCCCTAGTAGCTGGCATTACAGGCATGCGCCACCACGCCCAGCTAATTTTGTATTTTTAGTAGAGACGGGGTTTCTCCGTATTGGTCAGGCTGGTCTCGAACTCCTGACCTCAGGTGATCCGCCTGCCTTGGCCTCCCAAAGTGCTGGGATTACAGGCGTGAGCCACCGCGCTTGGCCTCAGCTAGATCTTTTCTATGTGGAGTAGGCAATAGCTTTTATTCAGATTTTTCATTCCTTGGCTTTCATTTTCTGATTTTTCCTAATTATTGCTATTTTGTTTTTATTGAGGAAATCAGAGAGAAAGCTATGAGATAGTTAAAGCCTGCTAAGGGTTTATTGAGACTATAATGATGTTCAGTATGAACTAAGAACCAACTACACTAGAACTGCAGCATAATCATACCTTAGAGTTACTACAAGATTAATTTGGAATCGAATTTATCTTATAGTAATGAATTTTCTTTTTTAAAGCTTTTTAGAGCAAAACCTAATCAGTAGCATAAGGGACCAAACCTATGTCAATCCCACAGCATAAGTGGCATATAAGGAATATCCTGTGCATTTCTCTACAGAAAGGGAAAGGAAGCAGAACTGACTTTGTGCCTACCAGGTGTTGGGTCCTAGGTGTTGGGTCTTACTCTGACCTTTACAAGTATTACCCTCAAGTTTTCCAACAAGTGGTCATCATTACCTTTTTATAAGTGGGAAAAATAGGTTTAAAGTAAATGGCTACCCAGAGTCACACAGTAAATAGCAAGCAATTCGTGGATCTAAACTAAATTATTTCTGCCTCCAATGCTCTCAGTTATGCTGTGGTGTTTTCTGGATGAAGTACTAAGATTTAAATATATTCTTAGAAGTTTTGTGTTGAACCTTAAGTTGCTCTTGGACTTGTTAAACTTGTACCATCTGAAATGAACACTCGTATCCATTCTCTTTCAGGTTTTGCTGTTACTGCTCAATGTAATCACACCTCGAAGAAGAAATGGAAAACCTTGGGATGTTGATCAAGCTCATATCCTGCGGAAGAACTGCAGCGGGTCCCAGCTGAGTGGGAGATGGGATTCAGCAGTACTGGTACATAGTGAGGCAATAATCCTCCTCAGGCATCACATTCGCTGATTTTTATTGGGGCTGGGGATCCTGGGAGAAAGTCGGGAACTTTGTCACTCTTGGCTTTGACTACTGACAGGCCTGATGTGCTGGAGTGGCCCAGGCAGAGGCCCACTTGCAGAGACTATGGGAGCCTCAAGAGAAAATCTACCATAAGAGAAGGACCAGTCTGACAGCAAGCCCAGCTTCCCAAGAAAATAGAAGGCTGGAGACAAGCTGCTGTCCAGGTATGTCCTGAACCAGCCAACTTGAAGGTAAGTTGGCTCCCTGGGAAGAGAAGGGCTATAGGTAAGAACTAAAAGCTGTGTCCATAGACACTGTAACACTGGAGTTCAAAAAATGTTGCTGTGGAACAGCCCCTCTCATCTGAACCCGGAGGGCATGTTCTCACCTCCCAAGAGTAGTGTCTTGTATTGAGGCACAGTGGTACCCTTCTGGATCCACAGGCAAGGCCCCGTGGAGTCTCAGAATAATGATAAATCCTCTGGATGACCTAGGGGCTGGTTAGGTGAGTAGAGCACCCTGCTGTGGTGTGCCTGTGGGACCACTGGAGCCTGAAGCTGCCAAGGCATGACTTGACCAGCCCCGGCAACTGGTTTAGGATCATACAACCATGCATATGCCCCTAGGATTCCTAGAAATACTAGGGGGAAAAGGATTTTCCTGGAACTGGGGCTTTCTACCTTTGCACAGGTGAGAACTCAAACCATTGAGATTTAGATATTAATGTACAACAACTTCATTTGTACTCGTTAAGACTGGTAAGACTAGGGCTTTTCCTTTCTGCTGCATTTTGACATAGGTAGGAGGACAGGATTTTCAAGATGCCCAAGAAGGTAATCAAGCAGTAATCATGCGCATCTTCAAGAAGGAATGGTGGAGCCCCACATGACCCACGGTCTGCACCCCACAGGACCCCACCCCACTGCCCCTCCGACCTCATTCTCCTAGCACAGCAGCCAGGGCCCCCGCTGGCTGGCCAGCCTCCCGTGCAGCACACTCTCCCCTCAGGGTCTCTACACTTGGCTTCTCCCTTGATCTGCGTTGTGCTCTTCCCTATCTTCCCACCCTCTAATGGCCATGCGCCTTCTCCCCCACTTTCTTCAGCTCTCTGTACAGACGTCACCTTTTCTGTGAGGCCTTCCCTGACCTAATATAAACAGCAACAAGGTCAGGCGCGGTGGCTCACGCCTGTAACCCCAGCACTTTGGGAGGCCAAGGAAGGTGGATCACCTGAAGTCAGGAGTTCGAGACCAGCCTGGCCAACATGGCAAAACCCCATCTCTACTAAAAATACCAAAAAAATTAGCCGGGTATAGTGGCAGGCGCCTGCAATCCCAGCTACTTGGGAGGCTGAGGCCAGAGAATCACTCGAACCTGAGAGGCAAAGGTTGGAGTGAGCTGAGACTGCACCATCGCACTCCAGCCTGGGTGACAGAGTCAGACTCTATCTCCAAAAAAAAAAAAAAAAAAGCAACTGCTTCTTGCCTTGTTACCCCCAATCTGGTTTATTTTTTCCCAAAGCACTTTGCATTATCTAGTATACTATCCATGTAGTTGTTTATTGAGTGTATCCTCCTCATTAGAATGGGAGCTCCATGAGGGCAAGAACTCCCTCTGTTTATTCACAGATGTAGCCCCAGCAGCCAGAATATTGTCTGTCACACAGCACACGTTCAGTGCATTTCATTAATGAATGATCATACTTCCTCCCTTATTTGTTCATTCATTCAGTGAACACTGAGCTCTGCTAAGTGATGGATGCTACTGAATAGCAGAGAACCGAAGATGAACAAGATAGCCTCTGCCCTTAATAAGGTCACAGTGTGAGGAGGGAGGCAGAATGGTGCCTAACTATAAATGCAGTGTGGTAGATTTCACTGGGGACACAGCTGGAGGAGATCGGGGAAAGCTTCGTGGAGGAGGTGCTGTCGAGTTGACTCATGAAGGGTGAGGAAAATTATGATGTCTGAACATTTATTGAGTGCTTACCATCTCTCTGCTAAGCAACTTAAATATAGCCTTATTTAACGCCGTGAACAGGTGTGTAACGTAAGTACTGATATTACTTTTACCTTAGGGTTGAAGAAGCAGGCTCAGAAAGGACCAAGGTTTGGAGCTACCACTGGTGGAGCTAAGATTCAGACCTGGTTCTTCCTGGTTTCACGTCTCATGCTTTAACCATGTGCTGGGCAGACAAGAAAGGAAATCAGAGCAGAAGAAATAATCCATCTCAAAAATGGAAACTTCATGGTGTGTATTCAGGGAACCGCAGGAATTCCAGGGAAGAGATGAGGCAGGGTCCACCTCACTCAGAAGGTGAGATATAGGCCACAGGTATTTCATCCCTCTGCCTCCTGATTCCTTCCTCCTTCCACGATAGCTTGCTTTTGTTACCATTATCGGGTGTCTGAATATGCTTTGATCTGAAGAAAGAATTCTATGATTGAAGCAAGGGATGGGCCATGTGGTTGTAGTAGCCCAGATGGGAGGGGGGTCCTTGAGTAGGACAGTAACTGGAGTAACTGGGAAAATGAAGGGGAGATGACGGATAGGGAGGACCTTCAGAGACAGGACTGCTAGGACTTGGTCGCATGGGCTGTTAGAGAGGCAGGAGGCTAGGCCTGGGTGAGTGGTGGAGCAACAGTGCCCATAACAGAACACCGTGTATGAGAACGTTCCATGGGAGTGGGAGATGAAATGTCAGGCAGGATTGGAGCCCCTGTGGCTCGTCGAGCCAGGGAGATGCCCCATCCTGATTGGGATGTGTAAGGCTGGAGCTCCAGGTGGAGTCACGGAGATAACAAACTTCAACTTCTTTCAAGTTATTGCCCAGGAAGAGAGCCCAGAGAAGGACCAGCAGTGAGCTTGGGAGCTGCAGCTGTGGACACTGGGAATCTCCTTGGCACTGACAGCTCTGGACCAGAACTCCATTGCTTCAGACGCCTTGTGGTCATGATTGGACAAACATATTACCTAGACCATTCAGGGAATTTTTTGAAATTTCTTAATTAAAGGAAGTTATCTGGGCAACTGAGGTCTCCTTGAAGCATTTTCTTCTATCAGTGTGTAGGTAAAATGGCAGTGTGTGAAGCTCCTTCAGTCAAGCAGGGTTCTCTGTAACCCTTTTTCTTTCTTTCTTTTTCCCTCCCTCCCTCCCTCCTTCCTTCCTTTCTTCCTTTCCTTCTTTCTCTTTCTTTCTTTCTTTCTTTCTTTCTTTCCCCCCGGTCAATACCTTGATTGCATTTTTTAAAATATAATTTTGTTAATTTTTCTTTTTCTTTCTTTTTTTTTTTTGGAGAGATGGAATCTCGCTGTGTTGCCCAGGCTAGTCTCAAACTCCTGGCCTCAAGTGATCCTCCACTTCAACCTCCCAAAGTGCTGGGATTACAAGTGTGAGCCAATGTAGCCAACCCTTTGTAACCTTTGATCCAGCTACTTTTTTCATTTCCTAGTTGTTTTCGCAACGCTGTCTGGAGTCACAGCCTCGGTGATCTTCCTTATTGATGAAATACCACTGGAAACTTGAGTGCAGACCCATTTTGGCCCAGCCTTCTTCTGAGTGCACAGTGCCCACCAGGAACAAAGTGTCCAGGCGACACCCAGCCAGGAGCCTCCACTTCGCAATGGAAGCCAGCACAAAGCTTGCCGTCAGTGGGGTTCCTGGAGGAACCAGGAAACAGGGCTGAGGTAAGAGAAAGAGCCCCAGCGACTCACTGTCCTCATCCTCCCCTTCTATATCAGTATGGTCCCCGCTTCTGGTTTGGGAAGGGTGGGGAAGAACACGTGTGCCCCAAACCACACCCCATCTCGGGCCAAGCAGGGCCATGGCAGTATTGCAGTGGGGAAGGAATGAACACTCTTCAGGGTGGTCTCTTTATCTGCTCATGCAGGGGTCCATCCAGATCACTTAAGAGTGGAGAACAGGAGCAAGAATAGAAGTGGCAAGAGAGGGTGCTTTGAGGTCATGTGACCCTGAGTCTTATCTCCTTTCTGCGCCTATGGGCTATCTGGTCTAGGGCAAAAGTCACTTCACCCCCACCCCGTGAGCTTCAGTTTCCTCCTCTCTGAGAAAGACGTCAGATGTCAGTGCACAGAGAGGCCATGGGGATGGGTGTGCCCAGCAGGATGCCCAGCATCTAGTAGGTGCCTGATAGATAGGGCTACCTCACTGTGGTTATCCTCCAAGTGACGATTATGTCTTTGATCTGCTTAATTTGGCACTGGATTTGGCGATGTGTGAACTCGTATTTCCTTGCCCACAGTTCACAGTAGTGTAAGGATTATGTGCTCGGGCTCTCGAGTTTGACCAGACCTCGCCTCAGATCCTGGCTCCAATAGTTTCCCAACTCTTTGACTTTGAATAAGTCACTTCCCTCATTGGTCTCTGTGGGAGTAATAATAGCGCTTACCTTATAGAAGTGTTGTTAGAAGAAAATAAGACACTATGTGTGGCTACTGTTTGGCATACGGAAAACATTCAAATATTGTGGTATACATTACCCTTGTAATGTAATAAGTTTTCTTTTTTCCTTTTTTCTTTTTTCCCCCCCTATTTTTTTTCTCTCCTTCTCTGTCTCCTGCCTTCCTTTCACCCTCCAAAAGAAGTCTAACAGAGTTGGCAGCAAAATTTAAAGAAAGTGGTTTAAAACTCAGAGCCAGGGCTGGGCGTCGTGGCTCACGCCTGTAATTCCAGCAGTTTGGGAGGCTGAGGCGGGTGGATCACCTGAGGTCAGGAGTTCAAGAGCAGCCTGGTCAACACTGAAACTCTGTCTCTACTAAAAATACAAAAATTTTCAAGTACTCCAAGGGTGGCAATTTTCAAGTACTCCAAATTGAGCACTTTCCATGGCTCAAAATGTGTAACAAGTGGATTAGTCCATTTTCATACTGCTGAGAAAGATGTACCCGAGACTGGGTAATTTATACAGGAAAAAGGTTTAAAGACTTCCAGTTCCACATCGCTGGGGAGGCCTCACAACCATGGCAGAAGGCGAGAGGGCCGAGTCACGTCTTACATGAATGGCGGCAGGCAAAGAGAGAGCTTGTGCAGGAAAACTCCCGTTTTTAAAACCATCAGATCTCACGAGACTCATTCACTACCACGAGAACAGTGCAGGAAAGACCCACCCCACAATTCCGTCACCTCCCACCGGGCTCCTCCCATGACACGTGGGAGTTGTGGGAGATACAACTCAAGATGAGATTTGGTTGGGGACACAGTCAAACCATATCAGCAAGTCTTTTTTTTTTTTTTTTTCTTTCTTCACAGGGCTCACTGTCTGTTGCCCAGGCTGAAGTGCGGGTGGCACAGTCATAGCTCACTGCAGGCCTTGAACTCCTGGGCTTAAGTTCCCAACTCACCATCCTGAGTAGCTTGGACTACAGATTGTGCCACCACGCCTGGCTAATTTTTTTTTTCTTTTCTTTTTCTTTTTTTCT